CAAACACGGACGGCACGTGGAGGCCCACAGTTGCCCTTTCTCCCCCTTCCAGCCTGTCGTTGATGGGGAACCTCCCGGGCCCTCCCAACGCGGGCGCCGCGGGCTCCTTCGCCTCAGACCCAGTGTGCTGGGCCCGGCACCGCGCGCGCCTTCCCTGCCGCCCCTGAGCCCGCTGTGAGGGCCCGGATGCGCCGCCCTGCCGCCCCAAGACCGGGCGCGCAGCTGCGAGGTTCGGCGTCGTGGAGGGCTCCTGGCATCACCCCATCTGAACCGAGCAGAGCAGACGCCAGCGGGAGCAGAGGGCGCGGAGGGCGGACCGGTCCCCAGAGGCGCGCGCAAAGGTGGCCGTGCTGGCAGAGTGACCCCCAGGGGAGGGCCCGAGGCCACAGCTAACCGCCGTTCGGCAGGAGGCCTGACCTCGGGGCAACACCTGCACCCCCAGCCCCCAGGCGGGCGCCGGACACCCACTCCCCAATTCCAGCCGACGGGGAAGCGACTCCCCAGTCGCCTCCGCCCCCGCTTCCCAGGGCCCGGGGCCACTGGATCGTCTCCCGCGTCCAGCGTCCTTGTGTGGCTCGGGCTGGTGCGCGCGGGCCGACCCCACCACCTCGCCTCGCCAGCCCGATCTCCGCGTCTCCCCGGGAGCGCGGCCACCCGGACCCACTAGAGCCGCGCGCGAGGCGGAGCCAGGCGGGCGGCGGGGCCGCAGTAGACGGCGCCTGCTGCTCGAACGCCCACCTGTGAAGGGAGCGGATTTGGCTGCGGTGCCCGGCGCGCGGTTCCGGGAGGCCGGAGCGCGCGGGCAGGACGAGCCGGTCGGACAGGCTGTGCGCGCGGCGTCTGACGATGGGAGATTGTGAGCGCAGGTTTACGGGGGAGGCGATCACCGCGCTAGCCAAAATGGGCTGGGGCTACGCGCTGCACTGGTCGACCAGCTTTCCGGGGGTCCGTGCCTCCTCCCGCAGCCCGCCGGGACCCCCAGCCCACCCAGGTCCACCACCCTGACGGGACCGCAGCCCGCTGGGAGCCCGTGACCTCCACCCGCCTGGGACGCCTAGCCCGCACGGCAATACCCCGACCGCCCCTGATGCTTAGCCGCCCGGCACCCCCGCAGCCCACCCGGAGCCAGGGGCGCCCAGGCCCCCACGGGCCCGCCCGGGACCCCAGCCCGCACGGAGACCCCCGTAGCCCGCGGGACGCTGCTCAGCGTGGAGCGCACATGGGCCGGCCGGGTCCCCCGAGAGAGGCAGCGGCTGCATCTCCGTTGGTCCGACTGCCGCGTCCCGCTCCGGGGAAGGGAGCGCCGCGGTGGTGCCCAGTGGGGTATGAGACGACCGTGGTCCACCCCACTCCTGCCCTTGCTGTGCCCAAAGGTCGGAGGTGCTGACGCTCTTTACCCAAGTTATGGGAGCGGGGTCGGGGTCCGCGAGCCAAGGCACCTGGAGCCGGAGCCCGGACAGCAGCCGCGGGCGAGGAGGCCGAGGGGGCCGAGTCGCGAACCTGGAGCCGCGGGCGGGGCAGGGTAGGCAGAGCCGGGCCGAGAACCTGGCTCGAAGAGGGCTGTCGCGGGGGCCGAGCGCTGGGGCCGCGGGTGCGGGGCCTGGGGCGGGACCCGCAAGTTGAGAGCTTCGGGCCGAAGCCCGCGGAAAAGCCAGGGCCGGGGGCCGCGAACAGGGGTCGGCGCTGCGCGCTGAAGCCGGGGGCCTGGGGTGTAGCCGCGAGCCCGGGGCCGGATCCCAGGAGCCTGGGGCCGCAAGACGCGGGTATGCGGCGGGGTCGGGCCGGAGCCGCCCTCCCTCCGGAGGGCCGCAGCGGTGAGCCGGGTCGGCAGCGACCCCGGCGCGGAGAGGCCCCCGCCCGGACGGCCGAAGCTAGATGGCCCCGCAGCGGGGTCCCACCCCTTCCCGCACCGCCCCGAGGTCGACCAGAGGTCCCGGCGCGCACCCAGGGCGGAGAGAAAGGGGTCGCGTGGGGGGCCTGGGACCGGGTCTCCGCTCCAGGGGCCCGCGGGGGCCTGCGGCTCGGCCCCGTCCCTGGGTGCTGAGATTTTTTTGGCCAGAAATCGGCGCTTTTTGCCTCCAGAATATCAGAGGCTCCTCTCCCTGGGCGGAGCTCTGCATGCTCTCTCGCCCGCGCTCGCGCTCCCGAGAGCTCGAGTGTCCCGCCAACACGCGAGTAGGTTCGTTGCTTTGTCAGCTTTACGCAGGCGTTTCCTTTACTGATCTCTACAGTATGAGATTGTGTCCGCCCAAATATACAAAGACGCTGTAGAAAATAGAAGCCGAGAGCAGCTCTCCACGGGAGGCGGTTCCCGGCGGCTGCAACGATTTGGCGCTGCGCGGGTCTCGGCTCACCGGGCTCGCTGTGCGGCGGGCCGCGAAAGTCATCTGACGCTTCTCAGGGCCCAGCTCCTGGCGCCAGGGAGCACTTGTGTCGTCTGCGCTATCAGACACAACGTTCGTGACGTTTTCTCACACCTGGCTGCCTGAGAAACGGGGTACTATCTTTCCCTAGTGAAAGACCCTCGGCCGTGTTCAGGCTCTTAGTCTGTCAGCTTCTCTCCCGACAGCCGCGCAGCCAGATTCCTGCTGGCCACAGAGAGTCGCTCTCTGACCGCGCGGGGCTAGGCCGACACCCAGAAAGTTGCGCCGCGGGGTGTAGGGCCGTGCTTTTCGCAAAAACGCACCAAGTGTGGGGAGCCGGCTTCCTGGAGCGGAGGGGGCGCTGTGCGCTGGGCTGTGTTCCCCTGGCCGCGAATCTGGGGCAGGGTCGCGGAAAAGCAGGCATGTGTTCTGGGTCCCGAACGTCGCTGGTACTGCGATGTCCGTTGTTTTCTGTCAACGTTTATGTGCCCTGGGGCGCTGCGCCCTTGTCCGCAGGAGCCCGCGCGTTTCTTGCTGGCGGTGCTCGCGGTGCGTTCCTACGCGCCCCCGCTATTCCTGGAACTGACGCCCCTTGGCCCCCGCAGCAGTGTGCGGTCGTAGGTAGCGGTGCTTCCCCGGCCGCTTCTACCCGCCCCGGTCGGTGGCGGCCACTGAAGCGCTGGGGGTTGGGGGTTGTCTTGAATTCTGCGCGTGGGGCGGTGCAGACTATGGGGTTATTTCCCCGGGTCCAGTAGTCCGGCTACTGCCCGGCCGTCTACGACCTTGCTCTGAAGACCCGATTCCTTCCACCACCCGCTCCTTGACTAGCGTCTGCCCCCTGGGACGCAGAGCTTGCCGGAGTCTCAAGTGCTTCCCAAAAATGCTTACGTGTACCGTGGTTTGAGACTGGACAAGTAGGGTGGTCATTGATGCTGCTCGCCCTGGAGGCGTGAAGGGCTTTTTGCGTGGCTGTTTGAGGTTTTACCACTGACAGTGGCCCACTCCCTTGGTGTGGGGGGCCCTAGGTGAGTTGGGCTAGCACCCGGTACTTGCTTTACCCCTAGGGCATTGGACTCCCCTGGTTGTAGTTGGGGAGCAAAGCCCCCCCTGTTGGGTTGTGAGGACTCACTTCAATGCTCTCAGGTTTGGGTCACTTTGAAGTGGAACTGGTGCCTCCCAGCACAGGGGGCTGCTCTCTGCTTTTGGAACCAAAGTGACACCCCGTGGGCCTTTATATGGTGTGAGGGCAACACAAGAGGTGGGTGGTCTGCTTGCAGGCCTTTGGAGTGTCACTGAGCTTGTATCCTGGCCCTGTTGGGGGTAAACAGAGGTGTGGGGGGGGCCTATGGTGGCTACCCTTGCATGTCTTCTGGGGCATTAGGCTTGTGTGGTGCCATTCCCACAATAAGGCTGCTTGCTTAGTATAGCTTGGTGCCTTTGCATTGCACCCTTTGGTTCTGGTTCCTGAGTTGGAGCCCCTAGGCTGGGCTTCTACAGTGGTGGAGCTTGTGGTTGGAGCAGATCAAGTCCCTCTGACTGCCTGGTGGTGGGTAACTTGCTCATGGTTTGAATGTGCCCTCATCATGGAAGGGGGGTATGGTGCACTAGTCAGCCAAGGAAAGGTGCCTGGGTGCATTTGACTCACCTTGCCACAGTGGTAGGCTACTAGAAGTTGGGCTGTCTCCCAAGTGGCTGCTCCACTCCCCAAGCAGTGCCCTAGGGTCCTCCCCCACAGTGCTTGGGGGGTGTGGTGACTGTTGGTCCAATGGGACCTCTTGCTCTGGGGTGAGCCCTACATGCCATGATTATGTTCCAGGGTCCATTTGTCTGTTTGTGGGGCTATTAGGGGCTCTGGGAGACCTGGGCAGGTGTTAGCCCTTAGCTGCCCCTGCAGTTTGTGCAGTTTGCTTGTACCCTATGGAGCTGTGCACCTTTGGGTCCTCCATCCTGCAGGCTACAACTGTGGGGGGCTTGGGCTTAAGCCCTGCTGTAGTGTTGGAGGTGCTCTGCCCAGGATCAATAGGGCAGGCCCTTGTGGAGGTTTCAAGCATGCTCTCTTGTCTGCTGCTCTCTTGTCTCTTGGGCTGAGTTTGGGGAGTGGGGTGTTCTTGCCACACCTGTTCCCTATGTTCCTTTGTGCCTGATTCATATGAGGGTTCTGTTCACCCACTAGAAACTCCCTAAGCCTGCTGGGGTTATACTGCTGGTCAGTGTGAGGAAAATTCAAGTTTTGGCCATAAGCCTGTTGGGGTTTGGGTGCAGCTCTATAGAGCCACACCCCCCTGGTTGGGGGGTGGCTGCTATCCTTAAGTCTGTTCCTGCAGCAGCTTTTGGGCCAGGCTTGGTACCGGGATGGTCTTCCCTCCCCTATTGCTGGTGACCCCCCCTCAGGGTTGGGGTGCATGCAGGTGGCCTCGTCTGGGTTTTAGATGGGGCCTCCTGGGGGCCCCTCCTCCCTATTGGAACCCAATAGGGAGGAGGGGCCACAGGTGCTGCTACACCCTGCTGAGGTCGACCAGTTGACCAGCTTGCGCCCCGCAGCGGTACAGCGGGTCGACCAGATGGCCCTTCCCGCCCACCACCAGGTGGCGCTATGTTGTGGTGGGACGGGACGGGACCGGACGGGACAGGACGGGAGTCGGAGGAGGTCGAGGGCTACAGCGCCCCCATTCAGGTTTGTCTTTTCCCTTTAGATGCTCTTCTTGCTGGGGTGCACTCCCCAGGAGCGCAAGGGGGGACAGAACTCCCCATTTCAGACTTGCGTGTCCTCATTTCTCTGGCAAACTAGGAAAAGGCCTTGCAATCCTGGTTAAGCAACGTGAAGGGACTCAGTTTCACCATTTATTTGGGATTTTCTGGTGTGAATCCTATTGCGACGCTCTATTTTCCATCTCCAGTCATAGTTGCTGAGCTGAGAGAGCAAAAATTAGAAAACTAGGCTCATTCCCACAGGTTTTCCCTTAACCTTTGTGGAGTCGGGACATGGGTGGGCCAAAATAAGGCACACACAGTGTAATAAGCCGAATTTGGAATTCTACAAATGGAAAATCGGCCTAAAATGTCCATGACGCACACGCACACACACACACACACACATACACACACTGGTCGTGATGCTGAGAGGCCACAATCCCTTCACAGAGCCAGAAATCAACAAAATGACTTTTTAAATCGAGTTAGAAACAGGATGGTGTGACATTAAAAACACGGGACATCCAACTTTAGGAAGCTGCAAGGCAGGTTCGACTACTGGATAATGTAGTAAGAGAATACAAAGATTAGACCTAATAAAGCTGGAGGGAAATGGATATAAATCCATCCGGATGCTGTTTCTTTGGAAAAAGCAGAGTAAACTAGTCAAACGCTTACAAATGAACCAAAAAAGGAAGGGTAACATGGTAAATTAAGGCAAAAATGGGAATGGCTGAGTAGGAGGATTTTCTAGCAACAAAATCTATCATCAGGATGAATTAAAAACTGCAATGGATACATGGGAGTCAAGAGTTAGCCCTCCCTCGATCCAGGACATGATCCCTCAACAGCAGCCTCTTTCCAAATGTCAAGGAGCCAATTTTTTACCAGCAGATAAAAGGGTTAGTCAGTCCTCAGCCGTGACACCAAGCTCGACAGACATGAGACTCCTCCAGAAACGATCAAGATGGGGGTTCAGTATCTGGAGATGTATCCTACACCCCAAGGACACAGGTCAGGAAGCTACTAGCACTGTCCACCCCAGAGCTACCCACATCCACCTTCTGCAAGGTCAGGCTGCACCTCCAGTGGGGGGCACCAGCAAATCCCTGCCCCCCTCCCAGTGGGAAAGAAAACATTTGCATCGATGATGACTTCCTTCAGGGTCATAGGTGCAAAGCCTCACCAAAGGTTAAATGCAACAAATGTACCAATGGATGCTGGGAGGGCACTTGGTCACCATCAGTCGCCTCTTGTGCTGCTAGCCCAGTCACGGCACTGTAGTCAGAGGAAAAGCGCCATGGGCATCTCAGTCAACACCAGGAACAGGAAGAGCACACACACCACCAGGATGATGGTCGTTTGCTGGGGCGCTGTGGGCCACCTGAGACAAAAGAGGGGGTGACAGCGGCTAGGGGGGCTGCTTGCAGGAGGAGGGCTTTAGGCCCAGGGATGGCTCAGCCTCGCAGTGCCGATTGTGATTTCAGCTGTAGGAGGGCACAACTGGGTGACATAAATACACAAGCCATGTCCAGGGTGCCCGGCAGAGGGTGTGGTCTCACGGTCCTGCCACACCCACACTGCTCTGGGGGCCAAGGGTCACCCCATCGTCCATGCCCGGGTGGAGGGAAGGTGAGACTGTCCCTGAGATGGCAGCTCCACGTGTTCCCCACCAGCAAGGCTCGCGGTGCTAGAGGCCGTTTTGACTCCAAGTTTCTTCACCAAACCCTCTCCTGAGCTCCATCTGTCTCCCATCTCTCCCCACAGATTTAATGGGCTTCTTGCCATTTACGAAGCCCAAGTAGCCCAAAATCCCCCCACCCCACCCCTAAAGCTCCCCACAACATCCCCTTGTCTCTGCTTCGGGCCCTTCCAGGCCGTGCTCCACCTGCCACCTACCTCTACCCCCTCACCACACCCCAAGGCTGCCTAGCTCCCCCACTCTCAACTCTGTGTTATGGCTCTTCTGCCCAGAAGGCCTCTCCTCTAGTAGCCCGGACACAGGGGAACTCGCTTGAGCTCCATGTGACCTGACAGAGCCCGTCCTGGCAACTCAGCTGGGAGCCAGGGGTGGGTGGGGCTTGGCTCCCCATGCGGGGAGAGAGGTCTGACTTTCACGCCGCTGGCCTTGTGGCCACCCCTTGTATGCAGGTGGTGTGGGTGTGGCGGTGGTGGAGCCCGGGGTGTGGTGGGGCGGGCCAGGTGGGTGCCTGGGCACACAGACAGGACACAGGATGGCCATGAGTGGCCACGAGAGGCGGGGCGCAGAGCTTGGCAGAGACTCCCTGCCAGCCTCTGTCCCTGACCTGCGGGGTGGCATCGGGCTCCGAGATTCTCTTTCCAGGGGTCTGAATCCACGAAGAACCCACACTGCCTGGGATGGCCACAGATTTATGGAGGCTGCCCGCAGTGGGTGACTATGTCTTGGGCCGGTGCATGGAGCGGGTGACCAAACCTCACGGGGCCGACACTGCCCCTACTGCGCCCACCTATGTGGGGTGGGGTGCACTGGGGCCGCTCACCCCTCAGAGCTCAGAGGTAATGGCCCTGGCACTCTCCCTCCACCTCATCCAGCCCTTGCTCCTCACCTGAGCCACCTCAGCCTGCTCCACAGGAGGCAGAGAGGGGCCCATGGAAGCAGCAGCCAGGACAACTCTTGTCGCCCGTGACCCTCATGGTCCTCCTGCAGCAAAGGCCACCGTTTCAGCGCCAAGAAGACCCACACTCATTAGCCGCCCCCCCTCCAGCCCCCGGTGCCCACACTTCCGCCTGCACTCCTCCCACCCCACCCCCGCCTACTTGGGTCTCTCTGGGAGGCCCCAGAACAAGCCTATGGCCTGCCTTTCCTCCCCCCCAAGTCCCTTTCTGACTTGAACCATCAGAGTCAGGTCCAGCAAGAGGTGGGTGGATGCTTGCACTGGGCAAGTGGCCACAGCCTCTGGTGCAGGGGGTGGACACACACCTGTGGGCAGCCTGTCCCGGCCTCACACCCCAGGCTTGTGGCCCCAAGACAGTCTTGAGAGCATGATTGGTGGCGCCTCACCACAGTCAGCAAAGGTGCACAGGTGAGTGGGTGAGCAGGCAGTGGGCGGGCTGAGAGCCCTTGACAATTGGATGGCTAACTAAGGAGAAACTGGATCCACACTGTGTGTGTGGGGGGAGCAGGAGGTTGGGGTGAGGGACCAGTGCACAGATGACGGGCTACAATGGGGGCTACTGTGCTGTGGCTTCATGCGTGAGGGCTGGGGGATGGAAGAGGCCGCTGCATCAGCCATGGGTGACCAGAGTTGGAGTCCTGTCCCATGGGGGCCTCCTAGGCCAGCCCTGGGCAGATGGGGTGGGGTTTCCAGGGCAGGGCGTCTGCCGAGGGGAGGAAGCCCCCTTACCTGGGAGTCCTCCGGCGGGCCTGGCATCTTCCTCCACTGTGCGCCAGGCCTAGGGGAATGTATCCAGAGCAGACAGGTCTGGGAGCACAGAGAGAGGCCGTGAGTGACCAGTCGGCTAGCCGTGCTCGGCCCCACCCTCCCCTGCTGCCCCCCTGCAAGTTTCAGGCTGGGAGGAGTGCGGGGGCCTGGGTGTCCTCATGCCTGCCCCTCACCTCCGAAGACAGTCCCTCCCTGCCGCACCGTGCCCCCTCGGGACACCTCGGCGATGCGGGGGCCTCCTGGCTCCCGGAGACTCCCCACAGCCAGAGCCTGTGACCCCGCAGGCCTGCGCGGGACGGGGTCGGGCCACAGGGACTCCCCACGCTCACGCCCCTCCTAAGATGGACCCCGCCGCCCCTGCGGCTGATGGGCCCCGGGCAGCGCAAGTGGCGCTGCCCTCGTGCGGGGCGGCACCCTGCGAGCGGCCTCGGCCCGCAGGTCCATCAGAGGTTGCGGGGGGACCCTGCTTCTCGGGTCCACTTACCCGCCACCCTCCGGAGCCACGGAGCCGCAGCCTGGGAGGACGCGCGCGCTCCGCCACCCCTGACCGCCAGGGGGCAGCAGCGTCCCGCAGAGACGCGGACACCCCTGTCCGCAAAAAAAAAACCCCAAAAACTCCCCAGAGGCTGAAATGGGCCCAGCGGGGCCGCCCAACCAGAGTCTGAAACAGGGGAGCCTGTTCCTCCCTCAGACGCCCCCGGGTTCCCAGCGCGCAAACCACGACCTCTGTGGGCCGCAGACCCCGCCCCTCTGTGGCCCCCCCCCCCCCCCCCCCGTCTCCCAGGACCCCGCGGCGTGGGCGGCTCCGGGAGCGCGGCCCCCACCTCGTTGCCTGCGGACGCCCCGCAGCTCGCCCCGCCGCTTACCCAGCTCCGCGGCCCGTCCCGCCATCAGTCCCGGCTCCCGCCCGGTGCTCAGGGCTCCGGCCCCGCCCACGAGGCAGCAGCGTCAGTATAGCCCCGTGCGCCCGTCAGGCCGGGCCGGGTCGAGGGCGCAGGGGTGCGCTCCTGGCTGGAGCCACGGGTGAGCTAGGCCCCGACGCCGCCAAGGGTGCCAGGAACCCCGCCGTGCACCCCACGGCATGAGGGCCAGGGGCCTGGCCCCCACAATGGCCGGCAGACGCAGGAGCAGGGCGCTGCTTGAAGCCACTAGGTCTGGGGTGACTCCTTACACAGCGAAGCCGCCGACACGGCCCCCACAATGTTCGCGCACTGGACGGTGGGGGGGCGTCGCCATCTTCACGCCCCGCGGGCCCCTCACCTTTCTCCTCGCCTTCGTCGCTGGGGGCCGCCGCCTCCACGGCCCCCCAGTCCCGGGCTGCCGACGCCGCTGGGCGCGCTCGGGCTCCAGCAGCGCGAGCGTCGGGTCGGGCCCGAGGTTCTGCAAGGCGGGCGGGCGCCCGAGCTGGCTCCCTGGCCCCAGGGCGGGTTCAGAACCTGAGGACGGAGCAACATTTGGTCATTCGGCAAATGCTCGCCGCGCCCCCGCGGACCGGCACCTCCAGGTGCCAGAGACGCGGCCCCCTGCTCTCCTGGGGTCACCTCCGGGCGCCCCCACAGACGCCTAGGGGTGTCGCGCGCTCGAGGCTCATCGGGAGGGGAGGGAGGGGTTCCGGGGGTGTCGGGGGCGGTGCGCGCGGATGCAGGGGCCACGGGGGGACAGGTTAAAGGAACCTGCCGTGAAAAACATTTCCAGGCGACCAGGAAAGCTCGGCCGAGGCTGCGCCCATCGAGGGAAGCGGGTCACGTTGGCAGAGGGGGACACGGCCTCGTGGATCCGCGAGAAACAGCCGCTTTTGCTTGAAACGACTGTTCCGGGCACGTCGGTGGCGTTGATGAAACGGCCGAGAGCGGCTTGGAACAGTCTGCAGTGACCCCCCCAACCCCAGCAGACAGCCCGGGGTGCGCGCCGGCGTCAGTGCACGCTGGGGCGCCTCAGTATCCGGCAGCGTTTCCTGTCGCCTGCCCGTCCGCCCCTGACGCGGCTCTTCCCGGAGCTGACTCAGGCGGGGGCCGCGGAAGCGGCGTCCCGGTCCCGCTGCCGGACGGTCCGGGGTTGGGGGGTGGGAGCCCGAGCCCCAGACCCGCCCGGGCGCCTCAGCTGCGCCCGGGGCCGGCTGTTCGGCGCAGCCAAACTCCCCTTCCCCGTAGAAAGCGGCCAGCCCGGTTCCCCGCCAAATGGACACAGAAAACTGCCTCCCAGCAGCCACGAGTCTGAAGTGCGGGCGCGGCCGAGGTCTGCGAGTCTCTTGATAAAAAGGAAAAGGCTGAGCCGGGGAAGTCGGGACGGGGGCGCGGGCAGGAGGGGCTCAGCCAGCTCCCGGGGGCGGGTCCCCCAGCGGAAGGGCCGGGCAAACCCTCCCCTGGCCTGGGGGGCGCCCAGAGGGGACACCTGCGGGGCCACAGCTTGGCCTCCGCTGGCCGGACCCGTAGCCGCCAAGAGAAATGGCCGCTCCGCGGGCGCGACGGCGGGTGCTGCCCCCTCAGCTCTGCCTCGGTGTTTGCTGCGGCTTATTCTGCGTGGACAGCGCGTCCGGGCCCGTAGAGGACCGGGCCAAAGGGGGCTTGTGGCGCATTCCCCCCAGTGCAGGGGCAGGGGCGGCAGGAGCTGGGGCGGGGCTGCAGGTGCGGGTGTAGGGGGGGGCGCTCCAGGGCCGGGGGCAAGCGGGAAAGCCCCGGGGTGCTCACGGGGGCCCCCGCACGTCCCGCCGCGGCTGAAGTTTAGAAAATCAAACGGAAACGGAGGCGAAGAGCCCACATCTCTGAAAATACTATTAACCTAAAATTTCCGCAGCCATTAAAACAGCAGATCGTGTCCATGTGCATTACAGACACGCGGGGGGACACTGACCCGCGGCCACAGAGGGTCCCCCAAACCCGCTGCCCCCCACAGAGAGGCCGCCCGCCCCGGCGCCGCCTCATGATTCCCCGCGAGGTCGCATTTCCCCGCCTCACCACCAGGCGGCGCGCGCTCCCCCCTCCTGTGCTTTGCCCCCGGGGCGTCTTTTTCCTCGGCCCGCGGGCCCGCTCCGCTGGGGCGGGGGCTCCGGGGTTCCGCGTCTCCTCCACTTCCGCTCCCGCCGCCACTCTCGCGTCAGCACGCAGCACAGTGGCGTCAGCACGCAGGGGGCGGGGAAACGCCGAGGAAGGAGAGGCTCGCGGGGGAAACCAGGGTCGGAGCAGCGGCGCGCGCCGCCTGGTGGCGCGGAGGGGCGGTGCAGCCGAGGCGGGACACGGGCGGGAGGAGGCGCCGGGGCAGTGGGAGGCGCAGGCGGAACTCGGCCGCGGCCGAGGGGCGAGTCGGCCGGCCGAGGAGGGACGCAGCCTGGAGAGTCATGCGGGGTGGGGTGGGGTGGGGTGGGGGGCCCGCGCCGGGGCGGGGCAGGAAGCGGGAGTGTGACGTCAGAGCACTGAAGTGGGGCAACAGAATAAAATGAGGGCAAGAACCCGCTGAAATAGGGGTTCTCACGCATTCGGGGAGGAGAACAAGGTGGTGTCGCCCTTCTGCGGGGACTCTGAATTTAGCTGCCAGCATTTGGGGTGTTGTGTGTCTGTATTAAAAGAAATACAGGTTTTTGAGACATGACATGTCGGATTTTGAGACATGACCTAAGGAGACGCTTTGACCCTCCCTCCCCCCCCAAATCTTTATTTGTAAACATGCTAACCAGCATTTTCTCATACTTACAAATACTGGAAACCACCTAAGTCAAAACTCCAGGAAACAGTGACATATGTAGCACTATGTACATGAAACAAATGTAGCAATGAGGCACAGTCATTCTGAATAGTTTTACATGACTTGGAAAATACTTGTGTTATAATAAATGAAGGAGGAAAGATATAAAATTGTAGGCTTACCATTCATTATTCCAGATATAAAGTGAACATAATGGGATTGATTTAAATTTTAAATACCAGGCAAAATGGAAATCACGTGTGATGTATGCACTTAGTGATACACACTTAGGTGATGGACTGTCATGAAGGGCAAGGGAAATAGTTATGATGACAGCCACATATTCCTGCTTACTTGGCGGGAAGATTATGATATAGTGTGGTCTTAGGATTCTTCACCCAGTTAATGGGAGTTCATTTTGTAACTCGGAATTTCGACGTGTATAGTCTCTGCCCTTACACACGGGTGTTATAGTTCACGGTTCAAAATAATGGAAATTATGAGGAAGAAAGTAAGCTAATTCTTATCTGTTTTAAAAAGATGTATTTATTTTTATGCAAACAAGAACTGGGGTCTAGGGCAGAGGTGCAGGGGGTGAGAGGAGTCACCACAGACAGACTGGGGAGCAGAACAGGGGGGTGGACTGAAATCCACAGCTGAGGGGGCCAGCGGGGAGAGGGGGAGGTCTTCTGAGCTCAGTGGGCTGCTCCTGGCCCGCGGGGGGCAGGGAGGGGCGGGGAACTCGTCCTGCAGGGTCTGGCCAGAGCTGGGGATCTCCATCTGCACACCCTGCCCCTCGGGAGGCCCATGTCATGACCTGAAATGGTCCCCAGTTCTCACGGGTAACTGAACTGCTCAGCTCAGCAAGACCTGAGCCGCAGGAGTGACGGCGCCGCCATGGGGATCACGCTGGAGAGACCGAGCTCAGGGCAGCGTCCTCCTGCCCCCGGGACGGTGCGGTGGCTCCTGACGCCCAGCTCCCCCCAGCGAGGGCAGCAGCTGCCGGCCCAACCCGGTGCCGCCCCCGGCCAGGCCCTGTCTGCCAGCCAGCCCGCCCGCCCGCCCTCAGCAGAGGCGGCGCCGCTCAAGGCCCTGCCAGGCCCGCGACCTTGAGACGCCAGGGGGGCTCCAAGCAGAGCAGGGGCGCACGCACCCCGCCCGGCCCCCCCGGAACGCCAGCTGCTGCATCCCCAGGACTCCCCGAACCCTCCTAGCACCTCCTGGCCCTGGCCACACTCGCCGGGGGCTAGAGGGTCACCTGTACCCTCGGCTCGCACTGACACCCCCAGAAGCAGCCTGTGCCTCGAGGACGCCCTGGGCGGAGGGGCCAGGTCACTGTCAGGGATGACACACCCCTCTAGCCAGAGGCAGACGGTGACCGCGCCCCCTGCCAGAAAACGCAAATAGACCCCTCGAGACTCCCCACTGCGCGCGCAAGCCCAGGGCAACCCGCGTCCCCGATGGGGAAAAGCCTGCACCTGCCCCAGCAGAGCTGAGAAACCCCAGGAGCCGCCCCAGGTGAGCCAGACCCCGCCCCGACTGCGCATGCGCAAAAGCAGCACCTTCGGAACCGCCGCTAGGGGCGCCAGAAACCCCCTGCACCCCCTACCCCCATCCCACATTCCCGGTACCTTATTTCCAGCGGCGATGCTCTGGTTGTTCCTCTTCTCCTCCCTGCTCTCTGCCGCAGCCTTTATTTTCTCAGCCCCCAGCCTCAGGTGTGCCGCGTAAGCATGCCCACCCCTTCCCCAGGCGCCCACCCGCAGGCAGCCGACGCGAAGCGCACACTCCCGACAGGCCCCCGGTTTCCCAGCTGCAGGTTGCCACAGAGGCGCTCGGCGCAAACCCCAAAAGGAAGCAATCTTCCCTTACCCCTCCTTTTGCTGTGTCTGGACCGTCCCCTCCTGGTTTCTCTGGGCCACCAAACCGGCAGCCATGACCCACGCAGCTGAGCGGCGCAACCGAGCACCACATCACCGCAGACAGCGCGGACACCCGCTCCTGTTATAGGACAGGGAGAGGGGCAGCCCAAACCCCGCAAACCTGCCTATTCTAAATGGGTTCTGCCATCCGCCGCATCAACACAAAACATAGGAGACTTTAATGGGAAGGAACTTTAATACAATTAGGAAACAATACAGGAAAGGCAAAGAGTCTAGTTTCTAAATGAAGCACCCCAAGTTACCCGTCCCCTCGTGGGTAAAAGTCCATCCATATGGGATCGGCCCAGAACAAGGCCCCAAAGCCTGCCACAAGTCTAAAGCATCTTCCAGTGGGGACCCACAGAAAAGGGTCAGAAACAACCAGACAAGCCCGGAAGGAAAAGAGCAAAATCAACATCAAGATAAAAGCTGCCATTGTCACCTCCCCACGGGTCTCACCCACATCTGTGTCACCCAGTCCACGACCAAAAGACAAGCGCAGATTCTTCACGTGTCTCTAGGCTCCATGCGCCTCCTCCAGGGCTCCTTCTGGCTCCATCCTGTTTCCTTCCTCAGTCTCTTCTTCTCCTCTTCCTGCTCAGCTCCACCCTCCCTTGAGTGGGGCAGGGAACCTCCCCCTTTCCTGGGGACCACCCTGTTACACTTCCAGACAGGGCGCCCCCGAGGGCGGAATGAGGAGCCCTTTTGCAGGCCCC